AAGGTCCTGGGTTCGAATCCCGGTAGGTGCGTACAGCTGAAGAGTCCCAAACTAGGACGAAACAGCTGTCTAGTACTCCCAGGTTTTCCAGTGGTTGTCTAACTGATGTCAGCATGATTAAATACTCCATGCAATATTATAATTTTCACTTGGAAAAATTTCCCGTATTATTTCACTTGTTTCCTACCCTCTTGTTACGTAATGTTTTATTAGCCCATTAATCTTATTAACTTTGTCCTTCCTTCTCAAATCTAGACAATAATATGAACTTTAAAACATTGAGTCTTTTTTTATATTTTACGAGTTTTTATAAATTTGGATAGCGTTATTAGAAGGCGGAAATTATCTGGAAAATGTGATGTGAGGGTGGAGAGCATATCCCAAAATGGTTAGAAAAACAAATGAATTGTGACAAGCCAATAGATGTAGGTGTCAGACCACCACTTCGTCTATAGCTAAACACCTGATCGAGATGAACCATAAGGTTGATGTTAACTCAGCCTTTAAGGTCATCTATAAAAACGGTCAAGGGCGGTTATTGAAATATGCCGAGGCTATAGCTATTCATAAACTTAAGCCGCCCCCCCCCCGCCCTGTGTATACAAAAAGTTTCCTATTATTCTTAACATACCTTGGTAATTCTTATTTGATTGGATTATCAAACGTTGTCTTCATTATTATTAAGTCATTTTTGTCACTTTGTTTAATTTAAATTTTTCATATATTTGAACAAGGCATTAAGTAGACAAATTTCGCGAGATGATATCATTTCGTAGTTTCTATACAACCGCTTTAGAACTAACATGGTTAACAATGATACTCCTCAGCTTTATGGTCTTCCGAAGATCCACAAAACTGGGAACCCACTGAGACCCATCTTAGACATGTCAAATTCTCCTTATCATAAAATCGCCAAATGGATTACAGAGGTCCTTACGCCTGTAAGAGACTCATTATCAAATCATTCTGTAAAAAGTTCATTTGATCTTACAGAAATGCTGGACACCTTGAACATTAAGGAAAAGGTTATGTGTTCAATTGACATAGAATCTTTATTCACCAATGTTCCCCTTCATGAAACTGTTGATTTTATTTGCGATTACATCACAAGCAACGGCATAAACTTACCCATTCCCGTCACTTACATCAAAGACATAATCTTAATGTGTACAGAAAATATTAGATTCACATTCCAAGAAAAGGCATATAAACAAATCGATGGTGTTGCGATGGGGAGCCCTCTGGGGCCCCTGTTAGCAGATATATTTATGTCGAAATTAGAGAAACAAATGCAAGGTATGCTTGGAGGATTTATGCTGTATAAACGTTATGTAGATGATACTCTTATTATTGGTAATAATAGTAAATCTATTGAAAACTTCATTACTCTATTTAATCATATTCATCCAAATATTCGAGTGACTTCCGAACTAGAATCGAATAACAAACTCGGTTTCCTGGATATTACTATGATTAGGAGAAATGATGGAACGATTCAGCGCTCTATTTTTCGTAAACAAACATGGACTGGACAATATCTTCATTTTACCAGTTTTGTTCCTATCCAGTATAAACGTTCCCTAGTGAAATGTTTGTTCTCAAGGGCCCGAAAAATATGCACGAGTGACACACTGATGGATGAGCTTCGACATGTACATTCAGTTTTATTAGCTAATGGTTATCCGGAGAGCTTTATCACTTGTCACAGCAAAGAAAAACCACATCTCGAAAAGACAGCTTCTGTACCAAAGAAAGCCATCTTTATTAATCTACCATTCAAGGGCGACCAGATTATGCAGTTGACAACTCAAAGACTTCGATCAGCCATCAAACGCACATTCTACGCCGCATCTCTTTTTCTCACTTGCCGAACATTTTCGATCCCTGTTCCTACGATTAAAGGACGAAATTCTGTGGACTCTACTTCAAACTGTATCTACAAGTTCACCTGCAGCTGCGGTGACACCTATATAGGTAGAACTAACAGAATGTTCCAATGTCGTCGAAAAGAACATATTCCAAAATGGCTAGTAAATCATATCGAAAATCCTAACGCGATTAATCTTAATAGAAATCCAGCATCATCCATTGCAAAACACTTATTAATGTCTGGTCACAAAATAAATATTAATGACTGTTTCACAATTATTTCACATAACTCTAATTCAAGGTTATTGAAGGTGATGGAAGCACTTTGGATTAATCACATACAGCCTAAACTGTGTGTACAAAAATCAATAGACTTCAATCTTCGCCTACCCTGGACTGCATGACCTATCTTAATATGATTGGTCATTAGTATGTACTTTTGTTTTTATTTAACTGAGTAATTTTCATGAACTTTATTTTATCATTGTTAACCATGTTAGTTGTAAAGCGGTTGTAAAGAAACTACGAAATGATATCATCTCGCGAAATTTGTCTTCTTAATGCCTTGTTCAAATTTATCAAAGGGACTAATTGTTTTAATTTTTCATATATATTGTTTTGGCAAGTAAATTTGTGATCAGATTGTTTGAAATGTGTTGCACAAGTACATTACATTTTTCAGACAATCTCCGTCTTCTAATAACGCTATCCAGATAATATGAACTATTTTGTATATTACCTCTTCATGTTTAACTGTGATTATGATCACAGGTATTTTGCAGCAATTTGCATTACTATTATCAGTAATAGTATTGAGGCTTATTGTTGAAATTTCTCACGACATAAAAATGAATGTCAAATATCTTGGATTGATTGTGTATTTCCTGTGACCATTCCTGAACTTCCAAAATCATGCTACCTTCCAGAAATATATTTCATTTGTTGTTCTACGTATGGAAATAAAAAACAGTCTGGTATCACACAGTCTCTACATTCTAAGTGTAATAATTGGTGTATTCCACAGATTCTTCTCAACTGCTCCCCCCCTTAATCTTTCCTGGGCTACTCAAGAAAGACTTTGGATAATAGAGGCTGTGAGTGGAGAGAGTACGCTGTCACTCAACCAACTTGTTAAAATTTCTGTAGATAGATAGACACATGGAATCATGCAAGAGATTGGTGAATATCTTCTTCTCGGACCCCGAACACCCTCTCTATACAAAAATCTCTCCTTGCATCTATCTCATCGTGTAGAACTAGAAACAACTATAGAAGACGGCATGCTCGTACAAATAAGTATTTGGTTGGCATACATTTTGGGATGAGAAGTGTAAGGCATGGATACTGCTAAATTACTGAAAAACACTAAGGAAACGGCCCTATTTCGTATTCTTTCTTTCATTATTATATTGTTGTCAATATTTTGACTCAAATTTTAATTTTACATTCAAAGTAAAGGACCCGTTTCAGTTATTGCCATTGTAATGAGAAAATTAGATGCCATATTGTATACATACTGAAAATTTCATATTTGTACCAAAAGTAGTACTGTTCGGAGTAAAGTGATTACTGTGTCGGTGGCACAGTGGTTGGGACTCTTGCCGATCATGCATATGGTACGTAGTCCGATCCTCTGCCAACGCACACCGGATATCTATGGTCGACCTGCAAAATTTGGGCTACCGATATCACATGCTGAAAATTCCATACCTGTCACAAAAATACGGTATGGAATCAAGCTGTAACCAAAAATCAAATCATATATATATATATGTATATGCGGTCGAGAAGTCCCTTCACCGATTATTCTGTTCCTTATTTCACAAGAAAAATTATTAAATTATTGAAAATATTTCTGGATAGTGCATTATTGAACTATTCAACTAAGATATATGTTATTCATTTGAAAAATCCTTCATAAACTACTTTAAAGTGAATCTCATTTTTCAAGTATTGGTTTGTAGGGATTTTGTTTGATTGGCTGAAGGTTTTCATCATGAGCTGAAATCAGTCAGAACCTACAGAAAGTACTGGACAGCTGCTTCGTCCGTCCTTGTTTTGGACTCGTCATCAGCACGCACCCACCTCCAGAGTTCGAACCCAGGACATTCTGTTTACACGGCAAAATCTAGATCATTCAGCCACTGGGACCTGAGTTAATGGCCAGCCCATGAATTCTAACTTCTGCTTATTCATGACATAGTGCCAGCATTTTGCGATGTCTTCTTCGATGACTTACTGCCTCATTTACAACCTGCTGTATCCTACTGGTCACGGCCTCCCACTAGAACCCCAAGTTAACTGCCTGAATAGGGCCAGTCACTAGTGAGAATCGGATTAATTTTCAAGCATTGGTTTTGTAAGGATTTTGTGTTTTATTCCATGGAGGATTTCATCATGAGAGCTGACATCAGTTACAGAACCACTAGAAAACTTGGGAGTACTGGACAGCTGTTTCGTCCTAGTTTGGGACTCTTCACAGTGCCCTGAATAATAACTCTTCAATAACTCTTCAGCGTACAGGTGAAGAGTCACAAACTAGGACGAAACAGCTGTCCATTACTCCCTGCAGGTTTTCCAATGGTTCTCTAACTGATATCGTCTCATGATAAAATCCTCCAACCGATATCATTTTTGGCGCGAGAAATTTTTAAGACTGAAATACAGCACCAGTAAATAATATGTTTATTCATTAGTCATGTGTTCTATCTCTTAGGCGATAAGTCAAAATATTTATATTGTTGATTTCGCTTAGAATATGTTTTTTAATGTTTCCTTTTCTGTAATGCTTGACATCAAGCTTTTCCACTTCATTAACGGTTAATCACATGAACTCAGATAACAATATATATATATATATATTTTCGTTACTCAATTTGTCTCTATTTTTCTCAATGAGAAGGAATTAATTATCTGTCAAATATCATTACTACTATTATTACTACTGGTAATTTCCACCAATAGAAATGCTCCTTCCCAAAAACACATGTTAATGACTACCTACCAATCGACCAATCAAATTCGGTGGGTCAAGGTTGTCCTATACAATTTTGACGAATCACTGACAAAATGAATAGAGAATTGATTAGGGCAAAAATAGTAAAAACAAAAAAAAATAAAAAAAATATTGAGTCTTTCCATTCATAATATACATAGATAGACAGGAGAAAACAAAGTACATTTGAGCGGTATTCACTAGGGCAGACAAAAGTTATTTTTCCACTCACTATATTAATGATGGTATATGTAAATATATTACAGAATCATGATTACATATCACACACAATTATTACGTTTCGTGACATGATTGGTTCTCCCAAAAATTCTGCATGATTCATTCAATTAGCAAACTATATAAATGTATATAAATATGCCCATTTCATTAGTTTTGCTTACAGTGTAATAATACAACAAAGGAGTTGAATAGGAACATTATGAAAAAGGAATCAAAAGTCGATTTTAAACCAACAATTATGACATCAACAATGCCTTCAAACAATGCGGATCAATGTCATCCATTGAAACATTTAACAAACAATTATGACGTACATCAGATTACTACACCGACTAATAACGAACGTAAATTGAAAACTAGAACAGAATCTTACTCAAAAATGAATAGTATACAAGAGACTTCTGATTATGACACAAACATGAAACTGCCAAGATTTATGTCAAACTATAAGTATAAACAAGCTAAATACTTGTTGAATTTAACTCAAAATAAGTATAGAAAACGAAAACCATTCCATTTTATTGATTCTACACTATATAAAACCCATTGGAATTATTCATCTTACTATAATGACAACGAAACAAATGAGAATTATACACCGACATACCGTCCATATAATTATTACTACTACTATAACTACAATAATAATAGTAGTCATAGCCGGAGTGCTTATAGTAATATTTACGGTAAACGTTCTGATTATGGAAGATTTAAGCGTAGTAAAGATTCTGGTCCATCGCTTGCTGATGTTCCAATGAATGTGGAATTTAATACTGCGAATCCAACCTATGCATCGAATCGTTTTCATGTTTTCAGTTATGAACAAGTGAAACAATTAGATGCAATTATGAATTCTTGTATATGTATTGCTCCAAAACCTTTATTTTCCAGTTGTATAGATGAAAATAATCCAGTGTCAATGAATAAAGCATGTTCTTGTTGTTATTTACAACAATCACTTATGAACAGTGTTAAAAATGCAGATGATTTAGACATTTCTGGATTGACGATAACTCCACTTTCCAATTTATCTCAGAATAAAAAGACTAGTGGAGAAATGACAGATACAACCATTGATGCAACCACAAGTGAAACCCCGAGTACAACTCCAACAAAGAATACACCTTCAATAAGTAGTAATAATAATTTAAAGACTTCAACATTTTCTGATCATTTACTTAATGAGGAAAATTTTATAACACATTCGTCTAACAGTCCTGACCTATCGTCTACATGTTATCATGACGCCTCCGTAAATCTACCGTCATCATACACTCCACTAATGCCTGGAATATTTCCAACAACAAGATTGCCAACAATTCGTATACAACTCAAAAAATTGATTCGAACAATACGTGATCGGTTGGTTGAAGAGTCGATACCAGTGAAAGAAATACGTTTGGGTGGGGGAGCTGCATGTTCTATTGTAGGTAAGTAGGAAAAGTAATAACAGATAAAAGGAAAAAAACTAACTGACAAAATTATTATAAGAATAATGTCTTTAGTTAGAAGTGAACTGATTTTAAGGTGACAATTGATTATCGATCAAAACTGAAGAGAACTGAATGCTCCTTGATTGAAGCTCTTCGTGGCGAGACTATCAGGGATAGTTCTGAGTTGACAGACTATTGTAAAATGTAATGGTAAATGATTAAAGGTGAAGTACAGGTTTCGGGTGGCCTCAGGATTCGTACCGGCGGCCCTGAGATCATGCTAGACCATTGTTTGTAATCATCAAGCGGCCCACACTTCGGGATCACGTTTAGTAATTGCCTTTAAATAAAGCAAGAACAATAGTAGTTTGTGCAGAATAACATGGTACCATCATTCATTTCGTTGGCTTCTCATCAGCTGCTGCTTACAGCCTAAATAAATTATGAAGTTTATGGACACAAAAGTTTTAACACACCTACAAATTTTACATGTTGTCAGTTGACAGAAAGTTCCACAATTAGTGATGAACAGTGCTCAGAAAATTGCGCTTATATAGTGTTTTACACAGGCAGTTTTAGTTTTAACAAAATAAATGCATGCATACAATGGTAAAGGAGTTATGTAATAAAGACGAGATATGCGTTAGATGCAGAGTGATTAATAAATTAGGTAATAATGTACTGAGTTCAACTCAAATCATAGAAACCAGAGACAAGCAAGATTAAAGATTATAAAAGGTTAACCTCATCCCTTTTATAATCTTTAATTTTGTTTGTCTCTTGTTTGTATGATTTGAGTTGAACTCAGTACATTATTACCTAATTTATCAGTTACTCTGTTAAAACTTTTCTGTACTTAAACCTCATAATTTATTTAGGCTGTAAGTAGCAGCTGATGAGAAGCCAATGAAATAAACACAGGATGGCACCATATTATTCTGCACAAACCACCACTGTTGTTCTTCCTTTATCCGAATAACACAGTAAGTTGTAAATTTCCTGCTTAACACCATTACACTGAACGTGGGACAGATAGAGTATTGCTGAGTGTTTACACGGGTCTGTACCAGCATATAATCTTTTATAATGACTTTTAGTCCCACCTGATGAGATACAAGGCCAGTAGGCTTGTGGACAGAGAGAGGGTTGTCGAGAGTTAGACAATATGGATTTAGATCACTTCTCATGTGAGTTCAGTTGTATGTCAACCAGAAAAGTAACGAGCTGACAAAATAACACATCACGTACATTACTGACAACCTTTAGTACCCTTCGCAGTGTTACACATTCCTATTTGAGTAGCTCAGTAATGACTGTGGGAGAGCGGTGGATTACAATAGGTAAGATACAAGAGTTAACCAGTTATAAATGTAGAATTTGAGTAATTCCTGATTATCTTAACTCCTTAATGTGGTAGGTTAGAGGGAACATTTCCTCAGATATCGAGAAGATATAGGATGACCAAGAAGTATCAGAGGATAGAACTATTCAAAGCTATTTTACGCTTGAATTAGTCTTATATCAGTGCCCTCTATACTACGAGCATAATGTGAATGAACAAGTTCGTGTAGATGGCGTTCATACCTGAAGGTGAAGTTGACTGTCTGACATTTAAAGGCAATTTAAGGTAAGACCATTTACCTCAGACCACTGCCTTATGTCTCACAAAAATCTACTAAGGTTGGAACACCCGAATGGCGATATAATTGGAAATGGGACAGTTAGACCATCAGAATATTTAGCATGGTCGATTTCATCCGAAAGAGGCAAGTCATTTAAGAAGAAAGAAAAAAGAAGGGGGCAGAGAACAGCACCTTAAGGGATACCGTCTTCAGTAAATAAGGCAGAGGAAGATTTGCTCTTATATATACGTGTCATCCAGTCCAAGCACAATAATTAAAATATTCCAATGTTTATTGTTTAATTCCTCATCGGTGATTGGTTAGTTAACACATAGTCGGAAAACCTTCCACAAGTTGTGAATTCTTGTGCACATAAGACATAAATTAAAAAAGACAGGCCAGTTACATGCTGTTCTAAAAATTGCGGAAATGTCAATAAAGGTCATTTATAATTAGAACTTCGTAATAAAAACATGTGAAATTATATCTCAGAAAGAAACAATTGCGAAATTTGTCTGAGCACTTTTCCTTCGATATAAATTTGTTTATTAAATATATCACACAGACTGTGAAACGGTATTATTTAATCGATAACAATATTTAGAACACAGTTTATAACTGTTCATAATCATCTCAGCAATTATAATCACACAACTTCGAAACTTTCGTTTTATAGTGTTCTTTATCTCCTCCGATTAGTCATAGGCGTAGTAGAATTTCTCAGATGTCCGGTTGGACTGGCGTTGAATCATTCCTATTGCACATGCATGCAGATGATGCGATAAACGAAGCTTTCGTTATCAATCTTTCCTCACCCACTCTGTGATATCAGATTTTAAAACTGTCATCTTATCCAATCTTACTGTATGGTTGTGTGTTTTATTAAGTTGACCCGTTACCGGAAATATTTCTGGAACTCTCTCACACATTTACTATAAATACACTAGTGTGTGTACAGCCTATAGTTGATAACTTCATCGAAAAGAGAATATTCTTCGCGTCAACCGTCATTTTTAAAATATTTCCTGTGAGCTATTTTTGTCTTTGGTAGTTCTGCCGTTGTAAAGTTGTTCATCTTAATCTTCATATATTTGCTGATGAATCCTAGTGGATAAAACCACTTTGAATTAGAGGGTTTCTGAAGAATTTCTATCCTCTGCTGACTTTGTCCCCTGATGTATGTGCAACTGATTCTTGTGAGGTGTAGGAGTTATTCTCCTTTTTGTTCCATTTTGCTCTTTGGATCTACCTAACATATATCTCCTCGAAAGCTGTCATGAAACAGTTAGTAACTAACTGACCAAAGCGGAGATGTCATTGCAAGTCCTTTCGTCTTAACAACGGCAATAGTACCTTGAATCTGTAGCAGAGTAAAGTTAAAGAATTAAGAAAGCAAGTGTAATTGGCTCCTCATCTTTCATATTCAGGTGTTCAGAAAGCAAACTAGCGTGATTGAAGATGCTTACTGAAGAATTTAAAATACTGATTAGTGAGCAAAGTGTACTCTTTTCGATGAATTCTTCATTAGGGCTCTACAATTACAGGACCACAATTACTAAAGCAACATTGTTATTCACAACATAAGTTCTGTTTTTAATTTGTTAATCGGTGGTATCAACAGATTTCACCTCAAAAGCATCAATAAGACGAGGTATTGCGCATGAATATAGCACTAAATTGAATTTTGGCGTTAGGAGCACAGTGGTAGAATACTTACCAACCACGCAGGGGTTCGCGGTTCGATCCCCAGCCACCGACGCACTTCACCTCGCCTCACTAAGCCAGTAATAAGACTGGTAAAGAGGGAAGGTTAAGCATGAGGCTAACAACCCCATCCCGTAGAAATAAACACCACTGCAACCGAAACGTCAAGCCTCTCGCTTGAAGCCGTATTTTCACTAGGAGCGTAAGGGAATAAGAAAAATTAAAAAATAAATATCAGGTAAATTAAGGGAAATAACACAAAATTTATGAATTGAAAGGTTCGATAGCAGGCCAGGGTAACAAAAGTAGCTGAACCTGCTTCTTCTGCGCACAGATTTCTGGTTGTTTTATTATTATTATATTATTATATCCTTTAATTCCTAGGGAATATAAGGGTTCAGCTGCACATCTCCATTGCGTTCGGTTCTCTGCCATCGTTGTCACTCCCCCCAAGTCTGCCCCACGCTTTCATCTCCTCTTCAAATGACCTCCTCCAAGTCACCCCACTCTGACGAACAACTCGCCGCTTCCCTTTCAGGTTCCACTCGAGCGATGGCTTGTCTAGTGATGTCACTTGATGGTTTCCTCAGAGTATGGCCAATCCATCTCCATTTCTTCCTGCTTATTTGTTGCACAATCGGTTTCTGGTTGGTTCGCTCGTCGCGAGAGATCCCTGTTGCTGATCTTTTATGGCCAGCCCTCTGATCTTGAGTATTGAGCGAAGACAACTGTTAATGAAGGTGTGAAGTTTGTTTGAGATGCTCTGTATGACCCGCCAAATCTCTTATCCGTATAGTGAGTAGCACTGAGTTTACATTGGAGTTGAAAATCCGGATCTTATTTTTGATGCTGAGTGCTGTTGACCTCCACACAGACTTAAGAGTAATGAAAGCTTGTCTGGTTGTTTTAAGCGAATGGCAATGACCTCTGATGTTTACAGTAGTCGGTACCTAGACGCTATCTGGTACCTCAAAGATGATAGGGAAAGATTACTTCAAAGAAGTTTTATGTCGTGTTTGGATCAGGGTATCTAAGATCAGACTGTTGTTCTGTTTTATCACACTTTCATATTACTTCACTGATTGGTGTTCTTGAATGGTGGAAAACTAAGTTCCTAGAGCAACATATATCATCTACTCACGTGTACGAAAAAGGGCGAAATCCCCACCTACCTATCAATCATATTTCAACATTCAGCCCCAATATAAAATCCTTTCCTGATGTCACAGGTTATTAGTAAAATAATTCTTTTTAAAATTTTATATCTACCTTTGTTTTATTAAGGTTCACAAAAAACTGAAAAATTCAACGATATCGATTTAATTTTTCGAGTTGATTTATCCAATTCTTCAACATTTACAAAAATCAAATCAATTGTCTTCTCGTGTATTACACATATACTAGCGGATACAATTGCATTAGAAAAATTAAAACATTATTCATACGGTTGTACATATATGTGTAATAATACACTTCCTCTTCCGCCTATACATTCTCCTCAGACGACACCACAGAATTCCTTGCCGCCATGTTGTTGTAATTGTACTTGTAGTACACTGAACAAATCATTTCAGTTAAACAAAGAAAATTTAGGAAGTTTACAAACTACTCATGATGCACCTAAAGGTAATAATAACCATAAGAATAAGCATAAGCATAATAATAATAATAATTCAAATTCAGTAATGATCGAATCATCAGGAAATCGTCAACCTTTACATGAAAATCAATCGAATGGAGTATACCAGTCAAATGTTATTACTGAAGAAAACTCCTGTGAGCCTGGAACATGCTCACAGAATGAGAAAAATTCATTATCATCAAGTGAAAATCAAACAGAAGGCTGTAATTATACCTATTGTAGTGTATGTCATCCTTATTATGCATATGATTCATTTTTACCGCCAGTAGCGTGTTCAATGTGTTCAAGACAATTCAGTTGTTCATATTACAATAACATTGACTGCGTTATTAATAACAATAATAATAATAAAAGTGGAAATAATTCAACTAGTATAATGAATCCATATAATGCTACAATTGTTAAACAATATATCCAAAAAATGATTCGTATATTTAAACCGAATTCAAAGATATCGGATTCATGGTCATTATTTACGCTTGGTTATCGTAGCTTATCAAAAGATAATGAGACAATGATAATTGACATGAAATTTATTGATCGTATGCATCGTCAATTTGAATTTACAGTGGACAGCTTTCAAATTGTTCTAGATAGTTTGATAAAATTTCATGATCCAACCAATGGTTATTTACAGCATCAAAAGATGAATGAAAATTTCTATCCTACAGTTGTAGCTGAATCGTTGTCTGGTAGTTATGTTGAAGCGGTGGCACATTTAAATGAGCATATAATTGCAACATATCGACCAGAAGAGATACATGGTGGTGGTCTATTGAAGTACTGTAGGCTGTTAGCTGAAGATTATAAACAGTCGGAGACTACAGATGTTATGTCAATGGAAAAGTATATGTGTTCTCGATTTTTTATCGATTTTCCTGATATTATAAGTCAGCATAATCAAATCAATGCATTTTTGTTGAATCAGTTTGAGAGGGATTCAAAGAAGAAAGCGAATTATTTGAATGTAAGTGTTGTGGAAATATTTTTGACATTAACGATCTATAATGATAATTTGTTTCGAGAAATCAAATATTTTGTTTGGCTTTATTTAGAAGTAAAAGGAGAGGAGTCATCCTGTAACTCATATTATTGTCTTAGCTTGGGACATTATCATGACAAATGAGGATGTTTTATTCAAAGTGAGAAATAGGGTTTCATCATGAGTTGACATTGGAAAACCTGCAGGAAGTACTGGACAGTTGTTTCGTCTGTCCTGGTTTGGAACTCGTCAACAGTACGCACCCACCTCCAGGACTTGAACCGAGGAAATCGTGGTTACAAGGCAAGATCGTTTGTCAGTAAGCCGCTGGGACCTGACTCATTGGTCAGCCCATGAATTCCAACTCCTGCCAACTCAGAAGACGTCGTGATTAGTGGTGTGCAGCAGATCGTGTGTTAGGACAGAAACTCTCCAATTACATATCGTGAATTGGCAGAAGTTAGAATTCATGGGCTGGCCATTGGGTAGGGTCCCACAAGGTTTAATGGTCTACGAGCTTACTCGCCTTGTAACCAGAAAGTCCTGGGTTCGAACTCTGATGTTGGGTGCGTGACGATGAAGAGTCCAAATTCAGGACAGACGAAACAACTGTCCAGTACTCCCTGGTAAGTTTTCCAATGGTTCTTAAAGCGATGTCAGCTCATGGTAAAATCCTCTTACCAATCAAATCAAATCCCTGCAAACCAACACTTGAATAAAGTGAGAAAGACTAAAATCAATAAAACAAATTCCTTGTGAATACTCTTTTTTGAATAGTGATTAATTCAGAGCTTATGCTGAATTAATGTCTAAACTTCAATGGTTAACTGGAAAATGCAGGGATAACAAACTTCAAATTGAGCACAATTGATAAACTAAACAATTCAGGTGATTACGATCTGAATTTACTAGCTTCTAAGTATTCCACTGTCGTCACTGAACTGAGAGATAGCTGACAAAGTTATTTTTCACAACATTCTGGAAACATTCTACTGAACGGTTTAGAGTCTGATGTGAAAGCTTCCCGGTATTGATTATTTTTCGACTACTCACAAGATGGTATCATTTAGTGATGATAAAGAAAAATGGAACCACTATATGTTCAAATGTTGGTTTGACGGATATAAGATTGGTTTCAAAAAAAACCAGGATGTACTAAACATCTGCTTCATCCCAGATCGAGACTCTTAAATAGTACACAACCATCATCCAACTGATGATCTAACTGAAGACTTTTCGATTTAGAAGTGAGTTCATCAACTATTTAGCCAGTGGTCCGTGATCCAACTTCTACCAAATCACAATATTTCATCGTTGACATTGACACCTGGTAACTTATAGGCTCTGAGTTTGCCCTTTACTGGGCCTATAAATATGTACTGATGAAGGGTCTCAGAGAAGGACGAAACAGCTTTTCAAGTAATCCTTGCTTTATAACTGTTCCCTGTCTGATGTCATGTTGTGCTGCAACTTATGACCATTGAATAGTCTGAAAATACGTTATACGTTAGTTACTGCTTTTTGAAAACTATATATGACTAACAGATAACTTAATTTCAACTAAATACTGTCCATCAGCACAATAAATTCAAAGATCTATTGAAAAGAGGCCAGAGACACTTCAGGTGAACTCTTGTGAAGGGAAACAAAGGTGTAAATTCTGATATTCTCATCAATTTGAATCCTCCTGTTTCAGAGAGACTTTTGTTTTGCACACAGGACGCACTTAACAAAGACTACAAACACATGAAAGCATGAAGGCATTTTGAGGGAAAGAATATAGTTCACAAACTCTCAGTTGTAAGAGAACGTTTATGACAGTTTATCCGATTGCCTACCTTCTAATGCTAACTAAAGTTAGTTGACCAGTTAAATGGAAATTAGATATGATAGAGAAGATTTGTAGCTCAGGTGGATGATTTTGATATGGTTTTGTTCTCTGAGCTGGATGGTTAGTTTGCGAAGCTTTCATCACCTTACTGGGTGACATCTCCAGCGCATACTTCAATTTGAAGTGAGCTTTTAGATTTCTCCACGAGTTTATTAATCATCTCTTCTTGTGTGTGACCTTGGACATGATTGGTTGTTTGTGTGTTTTCACACCTTCTAGGTTACTTGTATTGGAACCGGTTGTTTCTTTGACTTGAACTTTGACCCTTTGTGTGTGAAGTTTCTTTCTTATTGGTTGATAAATTTTGTCTATCTCGATGTGTCTATTGATTGATGATTCACTGGAATACCAGGCAGGCTTCTAAAAATTCTCTAGCATTCTTGGTGTTTCCTTTGTCTAATATTTGAACGTTGTCCCAGTCGAATTGATGTCCGTAATTGTCTGTGTGTAGTGAAATGAGGGAGTGGATATCATGTCTTTGACGGCTAGCTTATGCTCGTGGATACGAAGACGAACGGGACGTCCACTTTGGCCAATGTAGTGTCCTTCGCAGTTGTTACAGTTTATTTTGTATCTACCACTGCGAAGAACACTACATTGGCCAAAGTGGACGTCCCGTTCGTCTTCGTATCCACGAGCATAAGCTAGCCGTCAAAGACATGATATCCACTCCCTCATTTCACTACACACAGACAATTACGGACATCAATTCGACTGGGACAACGTTCAAATATTAGACAAAGGAAACACCAAGAATGCTAGAGAATTTTTAGAAGCCTGCCTGGTATTCCAGTGAATCATCAATCAATAGACACATCGAGATAGACAAAATTTATCAACCAATAAGAAAGAAACTTCACACACAAAGGGTCAAAGTTCAAGTCAAAGAAACAACCGGTTCCAATACAAGTAACCTAGAAGGTGTGAAAACACACAAACAACCAATCATGTCCAAGGTCACACACAAGAAGAGATGATTAATAAACTCGTGGAGAAATCTAAAAGCTCACTTCAAATTGAAGTATGCGCTGGAGATGTCACCCAGTAAGGTGATGAAAGCTTCGCAAACTAACCATCCAGCTCAGAGAACAAAACCATACCAAAATTGATGGAAATTACACGGTACGCCTCATTTGATATCATGAAATAAACAAACAACTGACAAGAAATCCTGCCCCAACGATTAGATTCACATGCTTGATGGGGCCAATCACGGCGATATACCTGACGGTTGAAAGGTTTCGTAGAAGATTCAAACAGGTAGCACTCAGTTTCAAAGTCCTTAATTCCCCTACTAAAATACTGTACTCGTATTTGACAAAGGCGAAATTCCAGCTTTCTAAGCTATATTCTCTAGTAATAGGTAAACCAAGCTAGGAAACTCACCACTCTGAATTATTACTAAATCTCTGGAGGCGAATCGCAGAAAGCTATCCCTAGTAGACTTCATCGTGACGAAAGCATTTTTCTTTACAGACTCATTCGTGCAGAAAACACCAAGAAGTTTTCATTCCTGACAAAAAGACGTTTTTTTCAACTAACATACCATCCACCTTTATCTGGTATATGGGCCAACTATATATCATCAATGAAGGAAGGAATATCCCCAGTCTTTATGGTTTGAAAACTAGCATTCACAGCCAATCTACGAAAAATCGCCAAAGATCATTGAAAGATCTCTGACAGTAATTTATCAGATAACCAACACAAGAAATCTCGTGGATGCTTCATGCGTCTTACTGTATACATGTATAAAGCTACCTTAAGAGATGGATAGTCATAAAGCTCTTCAAAGATAGCAAAAAGACTATTTCTCTTCAATGAATCTGCGATTCTGTCACACAATAATAACTTCAGAAACTCAAAATGACCTCAACAGTACCATTAGACGGCTATACATTCCAGTTAACTGTCTAAGCGCCAAAAACGTACTTTAGAACAAAGTTAGTTAACCGAATTCCAATCGTGAGGAGTTATTTAGAATCGCCTAGAATATTCCCCAACAAGGTGTGACCAAAACTTTTTTCACAAGAATCAAAGACAAAACAAACGCTCGCAAACAGTTCAATCTGAGAATGACACTGGTTCATTCAAACAAAATTATATCGCAAAACAATGCATTATCAATATTATCAGTAAACGACAAAGAGGAGCATTCAAATGAGAGATTAAACACGGGATAAAGGTAAATAATGAAGATCAGGTCAACATGTGGTAAACAGTCTAGGCAAAACACGGATCATAATTACTGAGTTAGTCGGAATGTCTAAATTAACGCCAATATTAAAACTAGATAGCTGAGGAATGATTTTCCAAACAATTATTTCATCACTAACAGATAAAAATAAATAATCTCCAATAATACAGGGAAAGTAAAGCAGACTATATAATCCTTTAAAACACTAGAAGTTATTAGAAAGAACCAAGCACCAAGACCTATCGGCCGTTTCCTAATACTTGAATACTTTATGTTGCTCATTGAGGTATTACTAAATTAATGACTGAGGGCAACTGATCGACAAATATTCTGACAACCTCTGTATGTTACAGACTAATACGTAACAATAGACCAGATGAGTGGTTAGATAACAATTATGCTGTTTTGATAATTTCACTCTTCGAACCAGTGATCTGACGACTGAACAGTAACAGGTCTGATTGAATCCAGCTAACCCTTTTGGTAGTATACCAAGCCACAAACTAGTTGACTACTGATAATTCTACCTTCAACTCATGCAAACCAGTTATTAAGTAAATATTATCTCGTCATCTCATAATGACACACTGGAACCTTCAACAAATCTATTTCCTTCAACTAAATAAGAAATTATTTCAAATCTAATCTTGGAGTGATATCGGTTAGAGAACATTTGAAAACCAGATAGAACTGGAGACCTGTGTTCTTTCTGGTTTCGGACTAATTGGATGTGCACACCTACCACCATAGTTCGAACCCAGAACCTTCCACATACAAGGCAAGCTAGTAGAAACCATTCGGACACTGGGACCCAAATCATGGGACCAGCCCATGAATTCTAACTTCTACCAGTTCGTGATTTTAGCGCAACCTCTATCCAGCGTCGTCGACGAGTAT